TATATTTTATTAAAAATTTTAAGATATCTTCAAATTTATTTATACTATCTTATTAAGCAAATTTAGCAAAAGTCTTAAAGTTTTAAAATATTAAATGACCAAAATACTCTTTATACTCACTTTTTCACTCCCTCCTCTCCTTACATACACTCACCTTTCACATACATTCACCCTCTCACAACCGATTTTTTTTAAATTATAATTTTAAATTTACACTTTATACACCTATAATTAATTAATTAATTTACTTTACGTTTTTTACTTTTAAATGTTTCATTTTAAACATTTATCAAATTAACATACATAATTGTATATCAATTAAAATATGTTTAAAAAATACATTTTTATTTTAATCTATACCATCTTATTAAGCAAATTTAGCAAAAGTTTTAAAGTCTTAAAATACTAAATGACCAAAATACCCTTTATACTCACTTTTTCACTTTTTCACTCCCCTTCTCTCCTCACATACACTCATCTCATCACATACACTCACCCTCTCACAACCGATTTTTTTAAAAATTATAATTTTAAATTTACACTTTATACCCCTATAATTAATTAATTAATTTACTTTACGTCTTTTACTTTTAAATGTTTCATTTTAAACATTTATCAAATTAACATACATAATCGTATATCAATTAAAACATATATAAAAAACAAATATTTATTTTAATCTATACTATCTTATTAAGTAAATTTAGCAAAAGTCTTAAAGTCTTAAAATATTAAATGACCAAAATACTATTTATACTCACTTTTTCACCCCCCCCCTCTCCTCACATACATTCACCCTCTCACAACCGATATTTTTAAAATTATAATTTTAATACTATCTTATTAAGACAAATTTAGCAAAAGTCTTAAAGTCTTAAAATACTAAATGACCAAAATATCATTTATACTCACTTTTTCATTTTTTTCACCCCCTCATCTCCTCACATACACTCACCCCCTCACATACACTCACCCTCTCACAACCGATTTTTTTAAAATTATAATTTTAAATTTACATTTTATATCCCTATAATTAATTAATTAATTAATTTTGCGTCCTTTACTTTTAAATGTTTCATTTTAAACCTTTATCAAATTAACATACATAATCGTATATCAATTAAAACATGTTTAAAAATACATTTTTATTTTAACAAGTTACACCATTATAATCATCTCGTTAATACCTTCGAAATGAGTCCA